TAGGCTGCAGCCCCGGGCCCCTCAAGCTTGGGGCCCCCAAGTTTGAGGGGCTTGGTTATAAAAAATCTGTTTATTTCACCACGGTTGTGTTGAAATATAGTAAAATAGTGGTATTTAAAGAATATTTTTATTGACAAACAAAAGATAGCTATGCTAGCTTACTTCAAGCTATGTAAATGTCGCTAAAATATATCACGAGTAAAAAATATTCTGAGGGGGCCCCATAATTTCATTAGCCTAGGGGCCCCAAAAGGTCATAATCCGGCGGCCCTGTATACATATATGTGTGTGTGTGTGTGTGTGTGTGTGTGTGTGTGTGTGTGTGTGTGTGTGTGTGTGTGTGTGTGTGTGTGTGTGTGTGTGTGTGTGTGTGTGTGTGTGTGTGTGCGTGCGTGTCAGTGTGTGCGTGCGTGTCAGTGTGTGCGTGCGTGTAAGTGTGTGCGTGTGTCAGTGTGTGCGTGTGTGTGTGTGTGTGTGTGTGTGTGTGTGTGTGTGTGTGTGTGTGTGTGTGTGTGTGTGTGTGTGTGTGTGTGTGTGTGTGTGTGTGTGTGTGTGTGTGTGTGTGTGTATATATATATATATATATATATATATATATATATATATATATATATATATATATATATATATATACATGTATATATATATATATATATATATATATATATATATATATATATATATATATATATATATATATGTGTGTGTATATATATATGTGTGCAATAAAAATAATGATAATAACAATAATTTTGCGTATTTCTATTTAGTAATACAGTTCTTCACTCTACATGCCAAGCCTTTTGCTTAGTTCAAATGGGGAGTTATAAGGCACGATCGTGTGGTTATGTGCATCTTTATCAGAGATGCCAAGCAACCAGCTCTTTAGAAACAATAGTATTGCGATTATGTCATGTGAGGCGGGCGATGTAGTAAGATGTCATAGATTAGTTTCCTTAAAGTACATAATGTAATAATGACCATTTCTCCTCCTTGTTGCCACGATCCTCTTCAACATCATTCTTATCATTATCGTTATAATCATCACTACCCTTATTTTCATCTCTGAAACTCTTTATGATATTTATAATACCTTATCCTTCACCATATATCTGTTTAATATCGTAAGAATGACACTGACTCTTGTGGATGACAGCCGTGACAGCCATACAGGAAGACAGGAATCTCTGTCATCGGCGCTTCAGGTTGCCTTGCATTTGTCTTCGTAAAATTATAACGAGGTACACATGGGGAGAAGGCAAGAGAAAAATCCAGAAACTATGATAATAAAACTCTCGCCATGAAAAATACCCCTGAAGCATCTTCATGGCAAAAATCGTAGGTATTAATTACCTTCTTTTTATGAAAAGTCATAGGAATAGTGGAGTTTGATGTTTGCAACGAGGTCACTTTGGAACAACTCCGAACAAAATGAAACGAGCAATAAACGTAAAAGTAGGCTGAATATATTTCTCTAAACAAGTAATAAACCAGGTTTAACACCGTATTCTTTTTAATTTATAAAGCTGCAGGTAAATATAGCTACAAGTTACATGACGTTAGTTTTTAAGGTTGCCAATGTAAAAATGATGTTGCTTATTAATCTGAGTCGTGTACACATAACTGTACGAAGATAGGACAAATTCTCTTAATCAATTCATTCAGTGATGTAACTACACTTATGCCTTATCATTTTCATTATGTATCATTCACTTACATATAACCGGATACTGATAATCTTTATCTACTTAAAATACAAGTTCTTCTATAATCAACTACTTACTTATGAAGCAACAACTATTATTTTTCGTCCTTTCAAAAAGCCATTGACTTTTCGAAATAAATAATACTCTCAAGTGTGACACTTAGAAACTTGGCTTACTAATTTAATTATCTATTTTGCAGATCTGTAAATACCGTCTGAATGAAGAAATAAACCTCTAAACATCTCTTACCTAGAAAAAGGAATAAATAAGTATCTAAATGAATAGGTAAATAAGCGTCTGCTTAAACGTGGCATAGTCGACATTCGGTGGGATTTATGAGCTTCCTAATCGTCATTTTGCTCACAAACATCTATTCACCTAAACGCTTACCTGACAGGGTAGCTTACAGCGTAATCGTACCTGAACATCGACGCAAAGGTGCGTGCGTGCGCGACTCGCAGCCAGTCCTTCAGTGGAGAAGCAGATCCCCCTTTTTTTTAGTTCGGAAATACTCCTGGAATGGCAGGCGGTTCCTTTTTCTTCGCGGAGGCTCCCCGGCGCGCCTCGCAAGTTCAGAGGGTCCGCCAGGGATCCCCGAAAGTTGGTCGTTAGCATGTTCGAACTCTGTCTACAACTCGTGTTACTGATAAGGTTTTGGGTCTGACTTGGATATCAACTTCTCTCGAGAATGTCGCGGGAGGAAGTTTAATTACGTTGATGTTGGGAGGAATATTATCAATGATGCCATATAAAAGGACTGAGCAATAAGGATGCCGTCACAGCAGTTCAGCTCCCGGGTTTTTTTTCCTTATATTTCTACCATGATTCTCATTACTGTCATCTGATAGGATTAATGATTCCTTGCTATAAATCATGTCATGTCAAGGTTGATATAGCATGTTTATTTATGATATCAAAATACTCACTCCAAATTTTATTCATATTTCATTACGGGATTTTAAGAATCTTCCTGCATTACTTTTTTCATGTCTTTTGCAACTTGTATTAAAATACTATGTTTTTTTTCAGTGAGTATTTTTTCTTCTTCATAAGTAGGTGCGGTAAAAGAGATATATTTGATTTATATTTTATTTTCACTTCTAAAGAATATACTTTACTTTTAAATTGTTTTATTTAGAATACCAGTACATTTTCAGATTACTTTCTGCTTCCAAAAAGAAATGTTAAAGGAACTCTCATGTTACCGTCGGGCGCAGAAGACTTCAATGCACACCCAAGGCCATGCTAAGTCCCGGGCTTGACATTTCGCCTAAAGCAATACAGATCGTAATCCAAAGACGGAAGTGAAGGTCTCAGATTCAACTCACGAACTGAACTGATTTTGGAATTTGAACATTGCATTGTTCCAGACGCGATTGGGAAAATTAGGCAAGCCTTGATTACCGAGGCGAAATCTTTTCGGCCGCCTCGCTTCCCTCTCGAGGCCCATTTTCTTAGTGAACTACAAGAAGAAAAAAAGGTTAACCTGAATTCCCCAACTTGAAATAAACTCGAGATCGAAAGCTGTCAGACTGATCACCAAGTGACAAGTAGTAGTTAAAGATACTACACTCTTAAAGGTGTATAGTATTACATAACAGCAATACGGTAATAATGGGAAGGAGAAAAAAGTCTATTACTGCTGTTATCCCTGTGGCGGTGCGTTGTTTCCTCTTCGCACTCCCGTTTCTATGCTTGTTTTAAGTATATATCTGTGAAGATAATGTTCTCACCTGGAATTTTCTTGTTGAGATTTTCCCTCTGTATATAATGTGTGATCAAATATCAGATATATCAAATATCACATAGCAGCAAGAGCAAATATCATTTAGTCCACATAGCAGCAAAATCAAATATTCTAGCTCTATAATCCCTAGTTTCAGTTTGGAAATTATTAAATCACAGAACAGAAAATATTAAATTATTCCGCTATGTCCCAGGTCGGTGATAAATTAATCATTCACAAAGGTCTGCAATCCCACCGTGATACTGTGTCAGTGATGAATGTTTAGCTTGGCGGGCAGCCGTGGAAATACTCGGTCCGTCTGCATGTCCCTTTGAGCATCAAAATTCCCTGGAAAGATGTGGTTTATCACTGCATATTTTCTCTCCAATTAGCCAGCTTTGCTTTACTTCCTCGAGATGTCAAATGCATTTAGTGATTAGGGTCTTGTCTGAATGAGGCTCGTTTTGCAATGCTTGCAACCATGCTCCTTTTACTTTTGAAATTAGTCCCTTTTTCGTGTTATTTTTCGACTGTAGTAAATATCACAGTAATAATTAAAGTACCGTAATATTTTTCATGATTTCCTTTTGCTTGATGTTATTGCCTTGTCTTCTCTCTCTGATTTTTCTATGTCCTGATTTGGTTCTTTCAAAAAAATGTTTCGTAAATTCAGTCTACAATTTGACTACTATCAGTATGTTGTTAAAAGAATTATTATTTTTTTAATATGGCATTCCAACTGTTGCTTAGATGTTTACCATCCAATCATGTCTTAGAGTTGTTTTTCTTTTTCATTGTGATTTTCAAATAATAATTCGAAGTAAATGTCTTCTTATGAGGGTCTGTGTTCGTTTCGTTTTTGTATGTTGCAGGAGAATACTCAAGTATACACGTTATCTTTCTAGTCTTTTTCAGTCACTTACTGTTCATATGATAAAAAAGAGGAGGTTAAATAACAGAAGTGTTCTTCAGAATTTTTTTATTGTACAAGGGCTGTCTTAACCAATATAGTTGAACTACGGAACAGTCAGCAGCGCACAGCGGCGCCGCACGGCCGGGGGGAGCGCGACCTGGAGCCAACACGACCACGGGAGCCACAGCCGCCGTCCGTGACGTCACCAGGGCCTCCAGGGCGCGCGAGGTCCTGACGGGGGGGAGCCGAGCCGGCCTGCGAGCACGCGCGCACGTGCACTGCGCTCCGATCCGAGTCTCGGGGTTGAAATTAAAAAGGACATATTTCTAGTTTGCTGAACACACAGGAGAAAAATAAAGGTTACCAAACTAAAAAGACTAATCGGTAGCATAGTAAATGACACAAGGCCTGCTGCCGGCCGCGGGGGCAGACCCTCCTCTTTTGTGTAGCGGTCGCTGTCGCCAAGGAGGAACGACAGTTATATATAAAAAGCTACGTTATTAAGGCAATATACAAAACGATAATATATTTACAATACAGTAAAGGGGAACTGTATGCATTTCCAGTAGAAGGATGCCCTGTGGTAGGGCCGCCTACCACTCAAGAACACAATAATCTGGAACTTACACACACACACGATCATGTCAACATCGCATGGACAAAACCCAACATCATTGTTTTTTTTTACAGTGTACTGTGCTTCCATAAATTAGGAACCTTAACATAATGCAAAAAAACGCACAGTTATAGGTCTGAACAGAATATCTGCTGCCACCTTCCATAACAGAAAAAAATTAAATAAATTTGTATATCCTATAAAGCTTTAAAACCTAAGGCTAAACAAAACCACATTACCGTCTCTTCTGATATCCAAACATTGTCATGGCACTGCGTCACTTGCTGCGTTCTCGTTTACCTCAGTATTACAACACGGAATGAACACCTACACTTGCATCCCTACAGTGTATAAATCTGACTTAGAAATACACCAATACAAATGAAATAATAATCATATTATACACTTAACCTACAAGAACATGTGAGCACAGTAAACGATAAAATATCACAAACAGACATAATACATTTATATATATCATCTATAAATATATGCTTTTCGTCGAAACAGCAGGGTTATCACAAATGGTTTAGAGTGAAGCTGAAAACTTACTTACAGGGGTGTTTCTCGCGGCTCTAGTAATGTGATCATGGGTGTCTGCTCGGCCTCCGCGCCCGGCGTCGGGTGGCGCGAGGGCCGCTCTGGGGCAGCTGGCACTCCCCGCGTGAGGATCATTTCTTCGCCTGTCCCAGGTGACCTGCTTTCACTCACTCTTACGGCAGAAAGCTAACTCTTTGAACCTCTGGGCAATCTTGCAACTTTTGCAAATTTTGAGTAAATTGTTATTAGGATGTTCTTTGCGTGTTAAACCGGTTCCGTTTCTTCCCCTTAGGAAGAGGATACTTGTTCTTGGTTAATATTCGGTCGACTTAGTAAGCATTATATTCTCAAAACTGCAGAGTACTGTTGGTTTGAATATTTTTGTTGTCATAAGTAAATAACTGGCCGGTAAATGAAAGTGACTGACAGACAATAAATGCAAAAAGATTTTCTCAAGTTTAACGATGGCCATCTCCCCTTCCTCTACGAATACCCTGTCTCGTCGTCGGTCGCTCCACAAGTTGCCCTTTCAGCTCAGGAGGCGGGTAAGGCGTCGCGTCTTGTTGGCAGTGATGTAAGTCCCATCAAGTAATATGTTTTTCACTGGTAATTTCAGTACAGGAATCATCAAAGCATACGAATCATAAAGAAATTTTGTTCTTTAATTCATTCGATTTCTTTCAGTACAAGACGAGACAGTTGCTAGTTAAAACGAAGAAACCAAATCAGCAACGAGTTGAAAGGAAAATCCGTCTGACTCTGGCGGGCGAGTCGCTCTTCAGGCGCTCGAGCAGCGAAATACTCGTTGCTGTCACCGCAGCTTCAGTAAGGAATCACCTGGTGTTAAGTACAGCATTGTTAAGTAGTGGTAGTCAACCTACGTAATCAGATAATCAAGAATAAAACTAGTGTCTGTGAAAGGCGCAGACCGTCGAGTCTTTGGCAGGTTGCTGCCCTGTTGGCTTGCGAGTTTAAAGTTTAAAGCAACTTGCTGCGCAAATAAGGCTACTAGAACTAAAATCCATGGCACGTACGCGACCTACATTTGGTACCGTAAAAACCTAGGAAATATCATGAAATCACTTAACATGTAAACAAACTAAAGCTATGTAAATCAAAACTGACTCCATGAAACTCGAGTTTCGACATCACATTTTGTCCTATTGCTTCTGCTTTTATTTATGCCACACCATACGAACGCACTCACTCAGTCTTTCGCCCCACCACGACTCAGAATACAAAAGCTGTAGAGTCAACATCAACTTGCTCGCAGCAACGGCCCTTCGGAGAGGCTGCCGCTGCTGCCGCCGTGGACGAGTCCAACAGGCCCTGCGAGGGAGCTCTTCTGCGCCTCGAGGCCTGAGGCTTCCTTGCGACTGCCTCTGGCGATGGGCCAACACGGCCTGGGTGTGATCGACTTCTTAGGATTTCGGTATAACGTCCCGGCCACTTGCTTGACGAGGCAACTTGTCCTTCCAGTTTAGCCGACTGCAGAGCACACCAATTCATCGTTTCACGATTCCGACGCCAGCTAATTACTGTCCAATATTGTATCACAAGGACATTCCTGCAATCACGCAGTCTCTTGCTCTGATATAACATTAATCCAATCACAAGCGACTTTAATTACAAGAAAGTTTTGCTTCTGATAAGACCTTGCCGTCTCAGCCACATGAATTTCCTAGAACATTTTTGACAAGGACGTTCTACTGCGAGGGGCGCCGAGCGGCTCCGTCTGTCACAGCAGCACGAATGGACAATGCAATAGTATACGTAACGTTAAGTCAGGAACAGGTGCCAGTACTTAAGGTACTGCGATCCCGAATGCTACAGAGTCGCCTAAATCAATAGGGGGAATCTGATAAAAGTCAATTTACGATAACTTAAGTATTTGACATGGGATGCGGGAATATGATAATATCAGCAGGTGACCACGCGACCAGAGACCGCACGTGGGAAGAACGACCCATTTGCCTTTGTCCGTTTCTCACATTCCTGACTTGGCTCGGTCCAGCTTATCCGAATGTGACGTCTTTTTGAACTTTGGAAAACAGAATAAGAAATCCTGACTATATTTTTGCGAGATCAAAGTAGGCATCGGTTTGCATTACATCGAAGCAACGACCAAATCTATACCGAATACGTTTCGAATTTGGCTCCTTCAAACAAGTCGCTCCTTCAGACGGCGCGGGCGACGTTCTTCGATCCACATGGCGGAGTCGACGCTGTGATTCACCCACGAAGATATTGTGGGCGGCAGTTGAGTTGACGGAGGAGGTTCGGGCGGCCTTGGTGTGCTTGGGCGGCCGTGGGTGTTGGCCAGGGCGTGGGGTGAGGGCGGCGGCCAGAGAGGACGGCTGAGTTGCGGAGGGTCAGAGTCGCACCGCCTGGAAGGAAGGAAGGAAACCAGTCAGTAGGGGACGCGAGGCAGGGCTCGGCGCTGGCACATATGTTCGTACGAAGGAAAAGCGAGAGGGGGAGGGAGGGAGGGAGGGAGAGGCACGGGTAGAAGGAGAGGGAGGGAGGGAGAGAGAAGAGGGAGGGAGTGAAAGAGTGAGAGAGGAAGAGAGGAAGAAAGACAGAGCGAGAGAGAGAGAGAGAGAGAGAGAGAGAGAGAGAGAGAGAGAGAGAGAGAGAGAGAGAGAGAGAGAGAGAGAGAGAGAGAGAGAGAGTGGGAGGGGGGCAAAGAAGGAGAGAAAGAGGAAGAGGGAGAGGGAGAGCCTGAGCGGCCCGACTCACCTTGCGCAGGGCGCGTGCATCTCGCGGTGGAACCCGACGACTCCTACATGAGGGCGCATTTCTCCTGCGGTTTGATGCTCGCCCTCGACACGTCATGTTCGATTTGCTCGTCCTCGTCGATC